GAGGGTAGTTATATTGCATATGAATGGAGTAGGCGATACAAATGTGTTAATACCGTGGACACCCGCTAATCTTAACGAAACTCCATGCATATTAACGGGGACACATTTAGAATTAGAATTTCTATACGAACATGGGACCACCCTCAGCGCAGCTACAAAGCAAGACCATGATGGAGGTGGCTGGGTTCAATTCCCGGTTAGATCTAGGAATTTTGCGGGTTGAAACATTTCTCGACTGCCCTGAGCAAAGAGTATGATTGTACTTGCTACACAATTATACCAATACAAAAATGGTACAACCATCGAAAGCTCTCAATTAATAACTGTGGAAGTACATCTAGAACACTAAACTACCAAACGTGCAAACAAAATGCTTATCAAATATATTATAAAATTAAAATTAATTAAATGTGTGATCACAACAGCAATGCATCATCAGAATAATAACTAAACGACTCAAGCCATGGTTAAACTTTATTCTTTTATGCGTGTATAATCAAGAAACCTGATTATCTTGATTATCATGTCAATTAATGTAGAATTCACATGGAGGATGTGGATGTGCATGATTTGGTAAGGCTATTACAGGAAATCATACAATCACGTTACACACATTGTATCATGAATTCATCAATGCGTTATCGAAATGTCCACTGCTGAGCGTTTGAAGTTGTCGGTCGCTTGGGTGGTTTTTATGTGAGTATTCTAAACTTGAATATCACCTCGACTGAAGAGATTAATCAGCAATAATTGTCTCCTTTTTTTTATCAAACTCAGCTATATAAACAAGTCTTAAATACTTTGTAAAGGATTACACAGGTTTTTATGGTACGGATATTTTGGGCCCATCAGATAAACAACTCGATGTCCGTGATCTGCAAGTGTAATAGGGAAAATGGCTCTAATGTTGGCTTATGAATCTAAAGATTTGGCCGATCGATACAAATCTACTGTTCTTAAATTTTTCGTAGAACAATGTGTCATATGGATAATACAATTTGATATATATGGTTGCTAGTGAAACATTGTCGAAAAATGCTTGCCTTCAACATGTTTGTGTGAGCTCAATATTATGGACACTTAGGCTGACATTAGGGACATTAACCCTAGTAGTATTCCTTCAGTACGAAATAGTTACTTGAGTAAAGCTGGTAAACATTTTTATTTTATTTACATTGATTTTTCAGCTGTTTTCATATTGAGTTACACCAGTAAAACATCAACGAAAAAAAAACCATCCAAAGTCATTTAATAAATAATGGGTACTTTTCCCATGCATAACAAGCATGCTAGTACCTTTTCAAATGGAAATTATCAATGCACACAACATTTCTACAATATAACATTTTAAGAAGATACATTATTTTTATTTGGAAGAACAATGATAAGTAGGGCCTTCCTTTGCTCAGTTGGAAAAAGCTCAGCTATGAAACAAACTGTTTAGGAGGTGGCGGGTTCGATTCCCGGTCCAGTCTAGACATTTTTCAGGTTAGAACATTTCCGCACTTCCCTGTGCATACTTGTCTCACCGTGTACGAATGCAAAAGTAGTGCAAGCTTGAATTTTATCAGTAAAAATACTTCAATAATAACATACAATGCCTATGTTATTGTATCTTTGGATAACATCTTAAGAAAATATCTTGTTTTTATCACGATGAATGATCCAAACAAATATTATGAAGTCAGTCAGTATATGTTTACATCTTTTCTAAGTCAAAATGATCAACATAATTTAAATTATATATTTTTTCCTGATTACGTGAAATATATTTTAAATAATGTTTCGTGAATTTTAACCCTCAAAATATTTTAGGTAATTCTTGAAAACGACCTGTCCATACGGTTGCTACATTTTGAAAAAAGTGCTGGGTTTTTTATAGGCCACCCTCCATTTTGGTTCATAACCCCAAAATATGAGTCCGTGTGGCGAACCAGCCAATGGCTGAAAGCTTTATAAATAAAAGAAAAAAAAAAACAGGGCCTGTGCAAAAAATGGTAAACATTGATGATGGTTTAATGGTCGCGCAAATATTATGAAATTTATATGGGAACTACTATGGAAGCTCTAACTTTGGTTCTAGTTGTTCAAATGCTGATGAATGTGGTTGTTATGACAATGATCAACATGCCTATTGTTGCTCCGGTCAGCTTTGCAGCGATTCAAGAAAGATAGAATTGGAAAAATGACAAAATAGCGTAAATTGATAGTTGAATATGTACCAGACAACAACGCCAATGTCATCACTGTGGTGACCTCCAATATCCTTCGTTCTGCCCATCTTAAAAACTTCACGTCTGCTCGTGGCAAGTGTCGTCGAGTGAATCCCGAATACCGTTAATAACTTTTCCTGGCTGGTCCGAAATCTGCACGGCTCGTCGAAGGTCTCGCAAGAGAGAGAGAATGCACAATGTTCTCAAAATCTCCCGAGCATAATGCTGCACGATGGCAAAGGCGAACGAACCCTTCCATGGTACGCGCACGGGCAGCCAATCAGAAATTATTCGGCTTCCCAAACGAGAGACGGAAAGGGAAAGAGAGAGAGAAAGAACTCTCACCGCTCGCATCGCACTGTAAGTGTAAGTGTAACTCGTGTCGTTTCATCCAAACCGCATTAAGGTATTGGTGATCGCTCGTATACCGTACACAGCAAAAAAATAATTTTGATATCACATCAAAGTGGATGCACTACAATCATGTCGAAAATTTCATGTAATTTTTATGACCACATAAATAAACATATGCAGTAAAAGCAGCGTAATGTCAGTTCATGCATTGTATTAATGATAATTTTGTCCTTTTTAGCAAGTAATATTACACCATATTTTCGACATGATTGTAGTGCATCCACTTTGACGTGATATCAAAATTATTTTTTTGCTGTGTATGACGTGCAAAACGAGGACTGGTTGACTAGAGACTTCGGTTTCTACAAACCGATACCAGAGTCTAGGATGAATGAGAGTCCGTGGAAAAGCATAATGGACGTAAGAGAGCCAAAGCCAAGAGCAAATTTTCATTATGTCGTAAGTAACATTCGCACCAATCCGAGAAAAATAAAGTTTTGTTTTGATGACCGAAAAGTTATTCCTATTTCCAAGTAAACACATATAATCTCATAGTGATAGCAATGTTTAACATATTTAGCAGTTTAATTAGTTAGGTAGGTTCCGATTCAACACATTGTAGTTTCATTTATATACCTGTGATCTTGACTTTTATACCTAGGGGATGAGTACTTAAGGGGGTTAGATTTTGATAAGTTCTTTAGTGGGAATGACACTGATGAAGACTGCACATTGTAGTCGAAATACGTATCTGTCATGGATACCAAAATTAATTAAGTGGAATTAAATGGAAGATAACCTATATTTAGCAGGGTTTTAATCATACAAATGCAAATCGCTAGCTTTCATGCTAAAAAATACTGGTTTTTGAGTCAAAAGTTATTATACGTCGTTTGGTGGCCCCTATTGTTACTTAAGTCAAAGTGTATTTACCAGGATATTCGGGAGAATTATTAATTACGTCTCCTTACGTGCAGCCCATTCATCATTTTAGGACCACCGAAATCATCTCAGCAACAAACAGTTTGGATATTCACTTTAATAATGAGAAAGCGAAACGACGAACGTACACTTTTCACGGATTTCTCAGCGCTGTTACTTAAGTCAAACGGCATCTCCATAGAAATTGGGTGACTTAAGTAACATCGAAAACTATTTTGATCGGAAGGTGATTACGTCAAAAAGCAATTTGACTGGTAAATAAATTTAAAAATGGGATTTGATCCTATATTCGGACAGTATATAGTGTAATAGCAGGAGAATCGATTGACACTGATAGCTCGACTTTGTTTACCTTTCTTACATTCGACGTAATGAAAATTTTCTCTTGAAGTACTGGAATCAAGGCCGATATTCGCCTGGATTTATTTAGGCTGAAATGAAATAATCTAATGTTTATGTTTTGTTATATTTATTCAACTTTCAAGTGCCTCGCTTATCTCCCACAATCACAACAACAACCTTGTTGGTCATTGTCATGGAAGCCACACTACTGCCCATAAACTACATAGACAGTTTTATAAAGTAATATAAATGATTGTCTACGACGGATAACCTCCTCCGATGGCTTAAAATCTCACATAAACTCACAACGTTGTTTAAACAACAGTCCCAAATAAAAAAAGACAGGTCAAAGCTAGTCTGAATTAATCGTATTTGTTCATAAAAAACAGCTTAAGTAGCAAATCAATATTATTTTGGTAATGGTTTATTGTTGCACAATTATAAAACTAGATTTAAAAAACATTATCTCTACAGAGTAATTTGACATAAATGCTGACTTTTCTTGGTTAAATCACATTTCAACAAGAGCAACCAATTATTTCAGGTGATATTTTGAATGTTTTTATTTTTTTTTTATTTTTGTATAGTCACTTGGGTCTCTTTGATTCTTGGGTCATTAATTAATTGTTCGGGGTGAGATTTAAACCCGTGACATTGTTGTGAGAGATATGGATGCTAAGCACTACGCCAAGGACGTCCTCCAAATGTTGTTTGAGTAATGTTATAATTTTATTTCCAGAAAATATTTTTTCTATGCCTTGGTCTATCTGTACTCATACATTTCTTTGATTCTGTATGTTGTTTTACCCTTATAAGACATATGAAAATCATTAAATCTACATCCTGGTTAAAGTATTTCTCCGATTAAATAGTTGAAGTTAATATCATGGTAGTAAAAATTATACTTTTGTTTCGAATTTTGACAAGCATGACAATTGGTAATGCCAGTCATACAGCCAGTAGTAGTCATATGACAGAAAATTTAACGTGTGCGCTAATTTTGACATTACCAATGGGCAGCGATTATAAAAAGGGCATTTTAATATTGATTCCTCGTTTATTAGTTTTCGTATGCAGTCTTTGCATATAAAGTTTAATTGTTAAATAAATTAATCAAATTATGATAATTAAACATTTCTGATTTTTCAGGCGTGACAATTCTTCTATCACTTACTGTATTCCTGAACTTAGTGGCGGAGACATTACCTCAAGTATCCGATGCAATTCCTTTGTTAGGTAGAACATTTACGTAATATTTTTCGTTCAATGGAATATGTTGATGCCTTTTGTATGTGTGTGTGTGTGTGTGTGTTTATATCACTTACTTCGTGTATAGTGAGACTGTTATATTAATTTCTCGATGTTAACAAAAATAATAATTTTGCTAACTTAATTTGTCATAGCTTCAGAATCATAGAATAAAAAGTGTCATTATTAAAACCTAATTTTCAAATGCCAATGCTATGAAATACTTTAAATAAAATCTATACGTGCATATGTATAGATTTCGCATGGTTTAAACTAACACTTATAATTTTCCACGTTAAATTAAATTCAATAAATACTGAGTACATAAAATACTTACCAAAATCAATAATTAAAATTCAATTCGATTCAAATTCATTCAAAGTCCTTTACATGATGGCATTTAACTTTATTATTGAAACTTTAAATTTTCACTCCTCAAACTTGAATAAGCATAAGGGCGAATACAAATGGTAATGCACTGGCAAAAACTACCAAGCTTCCGAGATAATCTCAAAATCTCAAGGGCTAGAATAATCACAAAGGATGATGGGTTTTGGGTCTTTTCAATACTTGTTCTTACTCTTGTTGTGTCTATAAAAGCAAAATATCGTGAAAACAAACAAATTGAAAAGCTTTTTTTAGATTGCACATTTTCCACCAAAGTAGACAAATAATTTCTTAGATTTCAAACCACTCAGGCCAGAAACAAAATGTCAAAGTTCTATTACCCATATTATGGCGATATGGTATTTTATTCTAAAATAAAGCGCTATATTATATTCACAATGGTAAAATTTTAAAATTTTATGTTGTTATGAGGGTTGTTAACCTCAGCGAAAACAATCTGTCTACTTTTGATTAAAATGCGCTATATTTTCATCAATTTATATCTTATGAAAATTATAACTGTCTTTTCGCTGAAGAGAACTGCTGCAACTTAACATAAAATCAATGCTTGGAAGATTTAATTTTAATGTATTATACATTTATGATGACAAAAATTGCAACCTATGATTTTATAAGAATTTTAGGTGGCTGAAATACGGTTTCTGCAATCTGCTGCTGAAAGAATAGAACACTAAACAAACATTACATTACATATAAGAATCTACAATTTTCAGAAGGCCATAAATTGAGCGTATCCTGCGCACCTTCAGTGGCGCATAGGGCCAACGTGAATGTATTCCATCGTGGTTGGCTGCTTGTTTTTGTTTTGACTTTATGTCCCTCAATAATAGGCTCTCACTTGAAGAGCTCGGCATGTACGCTAATACCCCGTTCACATTACAGTCTATATCACGTAATATAGGCTGTCTTGCAATGAGCCCTCATACATAGGATTTCCAGTGAAAACTAGATGTATGAGTGCTCATTGCAAGACAGCCTATATTACATGATATAAGCCATAGTCTGTACGGGGTATAAGCAGGAAACCAGAGTCTGTTTTGATTATCGAGCTATCCCTATTTTCATACTTCCTTCGATATCGAGATATGGAGATATCACTGTATGTACTTACGTCTTGGTGGTCCTGGGTTAGTTGTTCTTCCTTAGAATTCAGCAAATTACGTTATTGGATTAGTTATAAAAGTAATGATGTTTGCTTTTAGATACCTAGATACAATATGAATACATAATCGAAGAACAAGAAATCAAGAAAACTTGGATCTCTCTCGTTATCTTAAACGATCACTTTTGTTCATTGAGCACATTATTACTGCGGTCATAAACGCATTTTTATTAGCGATTCTGCCCTTTTGAGGAATCCACTTTCAAATGCGAAATACAATAGAAGACAGGCATAGTCACGTCATCTGTCGCTCAAAGGGTAACGCCCCAAACGATATTGATAACAAAGATTAAAGCCTCAGAAGGAAGGTTTGTGTGTTTGCTCATTTGTCTATGACTTGCTTTCACCTGAGCTCAAGTGCAGCGCGTGTTCGGAAAATCATTCTCAAATCTCATTCATTGAGCCCCTGAGAGAACAAACTCGAACGCTTGAGATTCTAATGCATTTTCCCTCACTCACACTCCCATCGCCAAAATTTCATTCCAACTTAAACCTCATAAAACCACCCAAATGTCACTTCGCATGCTCATGCTTTTTTGCTAGTTTTTCATCGAATAACGCAAGAACAAGATTAAAACAATTAACAACGCCAAAATAAGCGTTTAAATCGGAAATCTCATGCAGTGTTGGCAAAATCAGAAATCAATTGATATTTTTCCGCTCTCATGCGCTCGCAATATCACGCGTGATATTGGAACAAAATATCATGCTTGATATTGATTTTACAAGCTCCTTTGATATTGCGAGACTATTCACAATGTGCAAAAATCAAGCTGAGAGTTGACTCGACACAAAAATGATTCCATTGCACATCGTTTTTTTAGAAAGAGAAAACATAGTTTGCTATCTCTTTTTAATCTTCACCGATGGCAGACGCGAAGGGACTGCTGCAAGCCGATATGGAAGTTTTGGTTGCATTCGAGTGTAAAGCAAAAATCATTAAACTCAATCTCACCACAGTTTGGTGAGATTTGTAGTTGGTGAGATTTGTTAGCTTGATATTCCGAGCTGCGATATCACAGCTTGCAAAATCAACCGCAGTAGTTTGCTTGTTGATTTTTGTCTATGAAAATCAAGCGTGATCTTGGGCGTTGGTGATATTTTATTTTTTGATATTTTCCCAACACTGATCTCATGAGTGATTATTGCGGAGATGATTTTCGCAAGGAGGCAAATATTTTCAATGAGATTAAAAATTTTGAGATTTTCCTGACAGTGTGCTGTATCTTTCGCATGTAGTTTGGTAAAGTTGCCAGTTTCACGCGGTTTTTGTTTTAGGTGGTATTTACAGTTTGGTCGCGTTTTGCGCGGTACGTTTTCTTTTAAATTCCATTAAATTGTCAACAACTTTATATTCAATACAAGCAGGTTACTCAGACTCATTGTGCTATAAAAATGTTTTTCTTAATTATGAAATGATTAGATTTAATATTGTTTTGAAACGGTCACGCAGCGTTTATAAATCGAGTTTTTATTGACCCGAAGTTTTAACACGGGGATAGTGTCTTCTTCAAGGGGAAACATATTTTGGTGTTTGTTGTCTTATGTTTTGTCTAACTGTAACTGTCCGATCTCTAGTGCGGTGATACATGACGTCGGATACACTATACTATTGACTATTGTACACAGAAAAAAAAAAATCGGAATTGTACTGGTGATTTAAACATCCATGCATGCAAACATTCATGCATGTAAACTTTCTTTTCACGTAACGCAATAGCTTGCAAGAAATGTTGCTTACAAAGATGAATGGTTGTATGTATGGAACATCTCATGACATGTTTCATAGATTTACACGATCTAAAATGTAAACTTGTATGACGCTCCATTTATGTGCATCATAGTAACAGAAATTTACACTACTTTTCGAACTGTGTAGATTATATAATGATATTTTGTATTTGTAAGTTCATTTGTAAAGTATATATTTTCGCTTTCAGAGAGTTACAATCAGCGATTTTATTATACGTGCCCGTTCAGTCAAAGTAAGCGTTCAAGAAAATTTAAGGATTTTATGTATCAAACACGGGTGCACGACGTTAGGCATACGGACGTTAGGCATACGTACGTTAGGCATACGGATGTTAGGCATAATGTACGATAGGCATAATGGACGTTGGGCATAAAGGACGTTCCCAGACAACCAGAAGTCATATAACAATGTGCAGACAGTATCGTAAATTGCTACAGTTGAAGTCAACATCGCATATAAGAACGGCATGCATCGCATTATGTTTAAGTAAAATCGTATAGAATGCAAATTTCCGACCAATATGCGATGATTCATTTTTTCGTCGTACTGAATCACAAATCAAATCGGATTACATCGTATGACTTTTCAAAGTGAATGTGTTATTACAGATTAAATCGTATATGATGTTAAATCAACCCATTTAAAATTAAATAAAAATTTGCATGTATATGGCCTCCACTTTTGTAAGTATAAGCCATTTCTTTGCATTCTATACGATTTGTTTGTTTGTATATATGTTTGTACATCAGGAAAACAACTTTGAATATACGTGCATTCTGGTTGTCTGGGTTAGGCATAATGGACGTTAGGCATAATCTACCGGATGAATTCCAGAAGGATGATAATGGAGACCGTCTATTGATTGCTGACTTCGGTGACAATAATGAAAGAGCCTTAATTTTTGGAACTCATGAACGACGTCTTGGACAGGCAAAGTATTGGGTTACAGATGGTACGTTTGCCACAGTTCCTTGTTTGTTTCGGCAACTCGTCACTGTTCATGGAAGTATCGCTCCCTCACATCAGCAGACGGTTCCGCTAGTTTTCATGCTGATGACAACAAAATCAGAATCGTTGTATCGAAAAGTATGGCAGGAAATCCTGGAAGCAGCAGGTATGTTTTTTGTTATTGAATGAAAAACCACAGAATTAACCATTCTTGATTTCATGAGCTGTTCTTTGGCATCATATTTTATTCAACCTTGGCTGTTTTTTTGTTATTGAATGAAAAATCACAGAATTCACCATTCTTTATTTCATGAGCTGTTCTTTGAGGAAAACCTTTTCTTCTTTGACTTTTGCAATATGTGTGTAAGAATATAATACAACAAATGTGTGATTTTTTTATTTCTAGATGCGATTGATTTCAAAATATAGTTCAAAACTAAGCTGATTTTTCATTGTAAGATTACTTAACCACTATCGCTACTAATCATGGATCTAAGTAAATATGTAGATACGTCACTTATGATATGATAAATAATGGATTCCAAACTGTGCTTATTAAATAAACTATGTTTGTTTAACTTGTATCATTTTTTATTCAACGCTAAGCCTAATTTAAGCATTGTTTACAGGTTTACAGGTTAAGCAGGTTTCTAGAGTTGCACAGCAGCAAGGTATTTTATGCCTAACGTCCATTATGCCTAACGTATGTTATGCCTAACGTCCATTATGCCTAATAACTTTATGCCTAACGTCCATTATGCCTAACGTCCGTATGCCTAACGTATTTATGCCTAATGGGGTACACTCATCAAACACATACTTTACAGCCTCTTGTTATTTTTTTCTTTGTTCGGGACCTAATACCACTACTACCAGTAATTTGATCTATTGTTGTAACTTACAAGAACCATAACATCTAATGATTACATAATTCTGAAAGACATTTTTATAGCAAAGTGAGTGGAAGCAACCTTCCCAAAAAAACAATGCTAGTTTCATAATGGACTTGTAAACCATGATA